CGGCGCCGCTGGTGCCGCTGCCGTCGGGGTCGGGGCCGCTGGCGCCCGCGGGCCGGCAGCAGCACTGCACGCAGGTGCGGACCCGGCGGCTGATGAAGGAGCTGCAGGACATCGCGCGGCTCAGCGACCGCTTCATCTCGGTGGAGCTGGTGGACGAGAGCCTCTTCGACTGGAACGTGAAGCTGCACCAGGTGGATAAGGACTCGGTGCTGTGGCAGGACATGAAGGAGACCAACACGGAGTACATCCTGCTCAACCTCACTTTCCCTGACAACTTCCCCTTCTCACCGCCCTTCATGAGGGTGCTCAGCCCCCGCCTGGAGAACGGCTATGTCTTGGACGGCGGAGCCATCTGCATGGAGCTGCTCACCCCCCGCGGCTGGTCCAGTGCCTACACCGTGGAGGCCGTCATGAGGCAGTTTGCGGCCAGCTTGGTCAAGGGGCAGGTAGGGCTTCGTGGGCTCTCCCACGCTGCGTGCGCGTGGTGGGTGTGCGTGGGGGTGTGTGCGTGCGCACGTGTTTGGATGGGAACCCCAAAGGGCGGTGGGTCAAGCCCTGCCTGTGGCTGACCTTGGCCAGGCCTGGGTGACAGGTCTCCCCCCGAGGGCCTGGTGTCACCGGTGGGAAGGAGGCAGGGACACACGTGTTTTGCTCTGGGGTCCCTTCTCAGGCAGGTGCAGCAGAGGTATGGGGCAGCTCGGAGGGGTGAGGCGTGTCCTCTGGCCTGTCTTTTGTCCCCATGCTTGGCTCTGCTGCGTGTGGCACCGAGACGTGGTGCCCGTTGCCCCCTGCCCCGAGGGGCACCTCCCTCACCCCAAAGCAGAAGGGGCTCTTCGGGCTCCAGTGGCATTGGGATCCGAGTCCTCCGCCTCCTGCCCTTCACCAGCTAGTCGGCCATGCTTGCTGCTCTCCAGCGTGAAGGGCTGCCACTGGCGTAGGACGCGACGCTGGAGCTGCTGCCCCCCGGTCTTTGTCTGGTGCTGCCCTGCATAGCATCCCTCAGGGGAGAAGGGGCGACCCCCGGGCTCCCGGATTTGGGCCTTGGCACGCAGGGCAGAGCTGTGGCACGGCGTTGCGCCTGGAACTGCTGCCCGAGCTGCCGGCAAAGTTGTACCAGTTTAAAATCTCCCTGCCTGAAAGGAACAAGTAATTTCGGGGATGCACTGCGGTTGCAGCAGCTAGACGGTTCCTGCCAGCTCTCCTCTCCAGAGGAGGTACCTGGTTCCCCTGGCAGAGGATCTCATCTGAGCTGAATCAATGCGTTTTATGCTTTTTTTTCTTTCTCTCCTGCAGAATATCCTTAGAAGAGAAGTATTTCATGAGCCGTTTTTAATAAATGGGTAAATATTGCTGGTGAAACTCATAGCCAGTCCTTTATGGTTATTGTGGGCAATATACACATGGCTGTGACAGGGTGATTTTCGTGTTCACTTCGTGAATGCCCTTGAAACCAGGGGACATGCACATCTCCGCGTCTGTCAGTAAATGATGCTAAGTAACTTCTTAAATACATATCTTGGCAAAGGGGGGGGGAGGAGGAGTAAATAATAACATGTTTTTCTTTTGCTTAAAAATGAGGTTACTCCTGTTTGCCTCTGTGGAACTGCTTGGATGAGCAGAAGTAAAGGCTTGGTTTCTTTTAAGACTGAAAATTAGTTTTGGTTATTTAATGGACTCTTTTGTAAGTGGCTTTTCCTCCTTTTTCTCTGTTTGATTTGGGCCTACTGCTCCTTTTTTTAATCAGGTAGTATTTTCCTCTGCACTTCATTTGAAGAGGTCAACTTCCCTAGGTCACCTTGGGGTACAAAAAACATCTACCAGAAAAAAAGAGCCTTAATTTACATTGAGCCTGGGGTATGTTGAAGTTCTTACTGCATCTCACTATTTGTTAACCCATCTCTTTTTATAGACATCATAGTTCTTGTTATTTTAAACAAGGATTTAGAAGGACAATGCTAGATTCTCTCAATTTTTTTAACAATTCAGCATCTTTCTGCAGTGTTGAATGTTGAATGCAAAAGGGTTAAATTAAGATTTACTGGGATCCTAAAATGGCTCAGTGAAGAAAAGCACTAAATTGTTTTATTAGTAATAAATATTAAGCTATGTAATCTGACAATTTTCTTCCCTAAACCACTGAAGAGGTTTCCAGAAAGTAGTAGTAATTTCTGATAGCAGAGGATGTTTCTGTATGCATCATTAATAAACACATTTAAAATGCAAGAGTTTCAATAACGTTCTTCCAGAAGTTTACGAAGTTAATTATGAAAAAAGAGAATGCATGGGCGATTAAAAAAAAAAAAGGGCAGAATAAATTGCTGCCAGTAACTTAGTAGTGAAATAGGTGTAACGTGCACCGTTCAACCTCTTGGCTCGTTCATTCCAAGTGGGAAGGTTGATAGGTAATACTGACAATAAATGTAATTTCTGGGTTACAGAGCCTGTGACAGGTTGTCAGCCTGTCATCATAGCCGGGCTCCGCGTCATGGGAGCCACGTTTCTGTAATCGCACTCCCCCCGTTATGTAATCTCGACTCCATTGCATAATAGGGCTCAAAATACGACAGGCGCTCCCCTATCCCCATTTCATTTCTCAGTTTACAGGTAATCTACTTTTGACCATATTTTTTTGAAAATGAAAATAGAGCCGCCGAAACGTTGAGAGCCGAGGCGCTGCATTTCCAGCTGCAGGGCTGGTTTTGGGCAGCTCTCGCCGTGCGGAAGGTAATCTTGGTGCCTGCAAGGAGCTGGCCTGAACAAATAGCGATGGCTTACACCAGGTTAATTGTGTAATTCCTGTAAGCAGCATGCACCCTGCAATAGCACAAAATAGTCAGCATGCTTGCTATTAATCAGAAAGGCTGGAAGGGTGAGGTCCGTTCTCCGCCGCCCCAGAACGACCCTGCACAAGCAAATGGCAGCAGCCATGAGGCCAAGCGGGAGATGGGGCGCTGCTAGCGCCAGTCAGTAAATGGGACCTTCCAGGGACGTGTCGCCAGTCCGCGGCACCGTGATTTAGCCTGAAGTCATTGTGAAAACTGGAGCTGGTGACGCATCGAACGTGCGCGTCGGTGGCGCGGGCGCTGGCATGAGTAGGCAGGACCGAACTTCCCGCTGGCGTACGTTCCTCCTCTTGGTGATTTGCGTGATAAAACCAAGGTGGCTGATTTCATTCAGCGTTTCTCATCGGTCCTGTTTTGCTGAGCTAACTGTAATGCTGCTGTTCTCTGCCGGTTCTTCGGAGAGAAACGCAGCGCTTCTCAGTTGTGTTATTTTGTCAGAGCTAATAGTGACCTATGAACATATGTAACCTTCTTTTTTTGACAAAGTGATCAAAAAGCAGATGGAACCAACACTGAAAATACATTTTTGGGCAGTCATGATTCTTGACAAATTCAGATTTTTTTTTAATGGATTTCACAGGCATTTTAGCAGAGTAAAAGAAAAATTGAGAGAAGTCATTCTGACATCTCACAGGTGAAACATTTCACTCAGGAGTTATGTCCGTAAGGAGATGTAAATGCGCAACGCAGAAATTAAGAGGTAGGACTTTTCCGTTACTTTTCAGCATTGCCCTCATATGTGGGGAAGCCTGGGTCCAGGTTCCCAAACCTGAGCGTGTCTCCCAGGGGCTGGATTTTAAAGCAGGGTGGCTGTTTCTCCCGATTTCACCAAGCAGGAACCATATGCCTCAGGTGACCTTGCTTGAGGGAAGTCCTACCTTATAGGACCTATACCCTTGCTTCCACGAATCTAGTATTGGATTTTTAGGTATTTTTTGTCTGGAAAACAAAATGTTTAAAATAGAAGAGAGACAATTTCTGTTTGAATGAAATGATTCAACAGTCCCAAACTATGCTTTTTTTCTTTTTCTTTTTTTTTTTTTCAGTTTTCAAGGGAAAAAAAAAGTTAATTAACAAACAAGTTGGGGTTTGTTTGGTCAGTTGCTTCAGCTATTCAGCTGAGAAAATCAATTATTCACACAGCTCTAGTCAGTATCTTGAGGGGAATTCTCAGTACATCAAAGGCCTAAGACTGTTTATCTGTCTGGGATCCGGAGTCCTATTTTAAAAAATCTGGTGTTGTCCTTAACTCAACGGTAGCCTTGGTTTTAAGGGGATGACTTTGTACTTGCTTCTTGCACAGTCAGCTGCTCGCTGGCTCCCGTCATCGTGGGCAAAAGCTCGAAATGGTAGCCGTGAGCTGCTGCAGCGCTACTGGTTGTTTGTTGTCCTGGGGGCAACCGTTCAACGTGCCTGTCTGGGCAGAGCATCCCATGTCTGTCTGTCTGCCCAGGCTGTGGAAGTGGCCTGCTGAGCGTTACTCCTCCTTAGCAGCACCCTTTAAAATGGTTTATTGATGATTTAAGCGAGAGATTTAAAAATGAGTCTCTTGCTCTCCACTTCCTGGTAACGGTGCCGTTGTTGCAATAATATTAATTAATGGAAGGAAGGAAGGGGGAGCAGTGCCGGTCGTAGGAGGGTGATGAAGCAGTGGGAGGTTCATCGTGGCTCTCCGTGAGTAAGGCACACGGCTGAGGCCAGCGCCTGTGTTTTGGGGAGGAGTCATCTCTCTCATTTGAAAACATGGTGGATGATATGGTCCCAAATGAAAAGGAGCAGAGTTTGTCCAAAAGTGGCAGAGGACTTTGTGTCCTCTGATAGACATGTTGTTTCTCACTGGAGAGGAATGATTTGACACCGGTTTGGTTGAAAAGAGGACAAAGCTATGTATGCCAATGTCCAAATAAAGCATCAGGAATGGTTTTTTTTTGAGAACAACTAATGCAGCTGCACCTGATGCCCTGAGGACTTTGGGCTTAAGCTTGCACTGGTGCTTACCAGTAGCTGCCTTGTCCTCCTTTTTATGAGTCCCTTGTTCTCTCCCTGGAGGCTGTGGACAGGACTGCTGGCCAAAGGCAGCTTGTCAGGTAACTGGCGACTCTGCAGATGATGTCATGGAAGAAGTTCTTTGTTTTGAGGAAAATACTCCCTTATTCTTCCAGTGAATAGAAAAAGCGTAAACATCTTGTCAGGACATACTAAAATAGGAACAGGGACCCCATAGTTACGGGCGTTCTTGCTGTAACTATGTTCAGCTGTAATGCTGCTGTATAATGATTTAAATCAAAATCAAAATATAATTTGTAATTAAGATTTAATTTTCTATTGGAAAATTTCCTGAATTCAAATAACAGTTGTTGGTATATAGTACTTGCATCCCTTGTAATGTTAGAAATACCTCAGTGGAATCCTGTTTGTTTGCTTCAAGAGGTATGTACCTTGAATGACTGTTGGACTGATTTATCTTTCCATTTTAAAAATATGAGTATCCCAGCTGACTTCTACCAGACTGAAGCAGGAGAAATGGTCTTATTTTATGAAAAACAGATACAGAAGGTAGCTGTTAATCATAGTCTAAATTACTCCTCCTTCATCCTTTCAAA